GCTGCGGCACCAGGTCATGATCAACCAGTTCGTGCTGGCGGCCGGCTGCGCCGCCGACCAGGCCAAGCAGCTGCTGCAGGCGGCGCACTGGCAGTTCGAGGTGCGTGGCCGCCGCGTGGGGACCGCGCGGGGGGGGGGGCACCCACGGCAGCCCCCCCCCCCGGTCTCCGCCGCCCCCACCGCGGGTGGACGTGGGGGGGGGGTGCGGGCGGTCGCGCGTGGGAAGCGCCGAGGCCCTGCTCGCTTTGGGGGGTGCCGAGTGGTGAACACCCCCCCCACACACACAATAAACCCTCCTGACAGAGGCTGTAAGCGGAGCCACGCGGGACGGGGACACGAGCGGGGTCAGGGACCGCCAGGGGGCCCGCGTGGGGCCCCCCGCCCCTGGGCCTGCAGGCAGAACCTGCCTTCCATCCCCCCCCCCCGACAAAAACACTGGAGACGCCGGCAGAGGCCGGACAAGGAAGCGGCGTTTCGGGGCGCTCACGTTGCCGGCTCCGCGGGGTGCAGGTGGGGCGGGGGGCCCCGCGCAGCCCCCGGCCCCGCCGCCTTTCCCTCCGTCCCGCCTTGGTGGGGGTGACGAGCCGTGCCCTGTGCTCCCCGCAGACCGCGCTGAGCGCCTTCTTCCAGGAGAGCAACATTCCCAACAGCCACCACCACCACCAGATGGTAAGTGCGGAAACTTGGCGCGTGCCGCCGGGGTCCCCGCGCGGCGCCCTCCCCGCTCCCCTCCGGCGAGCCCAGCTCCGCGTCCRAAAGCACCCGGAAAGCCCCGTTCCCACCCACGCGGCTGCCTGGTGCCACGCACGTCCCCCCACCGTGGGGGGCCCTGGTGACAACGGGGGGGCCACAACAGCCCCCCCGGAGCTGTCAGCTCCCCTGACAGCCATATTGCTCCGCCACCGGAGAAACACACGGCCGGCAAATGTAAACACGAGCTAAAATGTCTGCCAGGAAATAGTTGGTGTCTGCGAGCGCCGCGCCGCTCCGCGCGCCCGGAGCGGGGGCCCCGCCGCCACCGGCACCGCTTGACCTTGGCCGAGGGCAAGGCCCGCTGGCGGCGCCCGGGAACTTGTGTCCTGCCCGGTGGGTTTTGCTTTTGTTTTGCTTTTCTTGGTTCTCCCCTCCCCCTGGAGCCAGCTGAACCGTGGCAAAGGTTGAAGAGCGCGTCTAGGCTAAGGCGAGTTTTAGTCCGCGCTTTCTTAGTGCCCGCTGTGGGAATCCTGCCTCTGGGCCCCACTCTCTAGCGGCAAAGGGGAAACTTTTTCTTGGGGAAACCTAATTTTGCCCCGCCACTTCCTGCCTTACCAGCTTTCCCCTGCTGCTTCCAAACCCTTTATTTATTTATTTTCTGATGCAAAATTTCTTCCGTGTTGCYGCGCTCGCTGCAGTGGGAGGTTATCGGTGCGCGCCAGCACAACATGCTCTTTCCCCCTCTGAAGAACAAGTGAGCTCCCCAAAAAGTGAGTGAGCACCGGGCGAGGAGGAGCCTGAGATCCCAGGCGCCAGAAATTCGGAGCTGGCCCAGCTGCCCAACCCTGAAATCAGTGCATTTCAGGGAGAGGGGCAGGAACCTGCCTGGAAAACAATGGCTCTCTGAGAGGAACTAGATTTTTATCTCGTTCCTTTAGTGCAGGAGAGCTCTGCTCCTCGAGCTTTTATTTGTAAACTRGCTGGAAAATTCCCACTAGGAGGAGGCTTTTGGGTGGCTTGAAGGACAGACTTTCACGGACCTTGCAGTTGTCAAGCCCTGTTCTAACTAGTGCTTTGGAAAGCCTGGGAGATACTAATCTCATGAGGGGGGAGAAAAGTCTTTCCCAGTTGGAGAAGGGAAAGGGAGACAAACCAGGAGCTGCAGGCCTGAAAATGTTGAGAAAAAGCTCGGCAGGTTGATTCCTTCCTCCTTTGAATCAGTTAGTGCCCAGTTGCTGCAGGAAGTTTGATGCAAAACAGGCTGTGACGAAACACACTGATTCCTGGTATTTGGACTGCTTGAGAACAGAGCGATGCGAGACCCACCTCAGACCCGTTTCGCTTCCTTTTAAGTGAGGGGAAACCACAATGTTGGGCTTGAATCACTGTGGTTCTGCCCCGAAACACTACGTCTCAGTCCTGAAACACTCACATCCGAAGCATTTTTGACTCCTGCTCCTCTTTTGCTCACAAAGGAGGCTCCTGCCCTGGGTCAAAGCCGAGTTGTGGGGACAGGATTGTCCTGCACAGCTCCTCGCTGCCTTGCAAATCCCAGACCTGTGCCACAACACAGCCCTGCTTGGGCCAAAAACACCAACTTTCCTCCCCTTGCTGCCTRCTTTGTTTTCCTTACTGCCAGATTGGCATTGACCAGGGAGTTTGCAGAATATGCCGTGCTCCGTGCCGTGACAAGCAGCATGAAACCATCTCTCCCAGGTGTTCCTCTCATTTCCCTGTGGCATTTTTGGCATTTTTGCTCCTATTCCCTTCTCACCCACCCCCAAAAAACAGTATCTTGATGTTGCTCCAGCGTAAAACGCCTCGAGCAGCTCTTCCAGGGCAGGGAGGGAGGTTAAGAGGGGCTTTACAACCTCAGTTTCTATTTACTTTTAAAGCTGGGTGGAACAAAGCTCTGAGCAAACCGGTACCACGTCGCAGCCCCGAGCAGCACCTTCACCCTCATGCCGGGCGAGCTGCTTCCCTGGGGATGGCAGGTACTCCCTGCGGCTTGCGAAATTCCCTGCGTATCATTCATCTTGGAAAGATCCTTGCCGGAGCTGTCGGGCCTGAAGTGGGACAGATCCTTTTAGCAGCCAGTTGTGAGCAGCTCCTTGCAAAAAGAAAAAAAAAAAAGAGGAGGAGGAAGGCAATAATTATAAATTATACAGCAGTTTTCAATTAATCCTGCAAACGACACCCCAGAAACTGAGCTGCGTGTCCCCTCCAGCAGCATCTCTCACCTCAGGCTGGAGCTGGTATTTGGATTATTTATGGTGGGTTTTTTTTTTTTTTTTTTTGAACAGAGTGGCTTGAAGTTAGAGTGTTTTTGGACCAAATCTCTGTTCAGATACTGCCGTATTTTTATTTAAAATAAAAGCCATTTTACCACGGTTCGAGGTGAGCTCCAGAATTAGTTCCCCAGAAACGCAAGCAGGGAGAGGGAGAAGCGGCCCCAGCTCTGCCCTCAGCRTTAACCTGGCAGAGGAGAGGGGACACGTTAGTGGCCGAGCTCTGGAAAGCCGTTTATCTCCTCCGCTTATTTGTTTTTTAATTGCTTGGATTGAAAAACAACCTCGGCGCRGGCTGGCATCTGCCCTGGGGTGAAGGTTCAGCGGCAGACGTGCCCGCACGGCCCAAGGACAAGCGGGGCCCTACATCTTTCCAAAGCAACTGGATCACAACCGTCCTGCTCCGGGCACGGGCAGGATGGAGAAGAGATCCTGAGCATCCTGAGCAGAAGAGGTGGCTGTCGAGGATGTTTGGGAACAGAAGCTGCTTTTCCTGTGTTGGTAGGTGGAGTCCTGTAGCGGCTGGGAAAGCAACTCTACGAGAAGTCAGTTGGGCATTGACCYGCTTCTCCGTTGCCATAAGGAGTTTATATGGATTTATAGCAGCGTAGGAACTCTGTCCATGGAAGGAGGATGTCCTGTGGGGACATCTCGTGCCTGGCTCCCTATCGTAGATCGCTCCGCTCCCATCYCAAAGGGAGACACTGCCTACGATAACGCACGTGGAAATTGTGATGGAATTCACACCCAGAGATGCAGAGGAGAGCCCTCGAGGTGGCAAGTCTCAGGAACAGAAGGAACCCACAGAAGGAACCCGCTTCCTAGTGGTGCTGTTGGAGTTTAGTCTAAATCTGAACGTTCGTAAGAACAGCCTGGGAATGGAGAGGAAGGCTGGWGGAGGAGAGACATCCCGAGACATGAATTTGGGCCCTTGCTGGCTAGCAAGCACCTGGTCCCGCATTTCACCCGCAACCAGGCCTGGCTGGTCCCACTGCTGAGATAAAACCCTGGAATGAGGAGACACGGGAACTCTTCCTTCTCTGAAGTGTCTCACAGATGCCAAATTGCCAAAAAGACACCTGAAACGTGGAGGGAGGAAACGCTTCTGGAATCGCTTCACACCACACTAACATGGTGACCATCTTCTGCTGCCACAGCCCAAACATAAGGGGCTTCCTGGGGTCACTTTGGACTGTCGGAGCTCTCCTGTGGCCACAAGAGCCCTCTGTGGATGCAGGGGGGACAGTTCCTCACACCCATCATGGCAAAGCCCGTGGCAAAACACCCGGCTTTGCCTGGGGATGCAGATCTGGCAGGTCCAGATACATCCACAGATCCCTTTCCTCCAAGCAGGCTCCCAGGCCGGAGCCCAAGAGTACATCAGCACTCACTAAGGTTAACTCAAGGTGATGTGGGACCCGTATCACACAAATGTGCCCTATCCCCCCTCACAGAGCTGGCGAGCGGGAAGGGAAGATTCCTCAAGACAGTTCCTGCCCTAGGGACAGCGCTTGACCACCTGCAGCTATTTCTAAAACCCACCCGGCGCCAAATCCGTGCGCGGTGCCCGAGCGAGCCCGCCACAGCCAGCCTGCATTGAAGGGGGACAGCAGCAAGCCCGGCGGCCGGGGGGGGGGATTTTCCCCCCATCCCCTCCTTTGCAGGGGCTTTTGCAGGACGAGCTGGGTCCCTGCCGCTCGCGGGCTGGGGGTTTCATTGCTGCCGGGTGCAGCGGGTCCCCACTGTGGGCACGAGCCCGGCCCGGATTTTCCTCCACCTGCAACCGCACAGCGAGTGGGCGGTGAGATTCATTGCGAAAAGGGCCGGGGCTGCACAGGGCCAAGCCCGAGGGAGGAGGAGGAGGCCCCGAGGAAGGAGGTGGAGACGTGGTGCTAAATTTAGCTGGGTACACAGAAGACACTGGCTTTACCAGGAACAGCGCGGCACGGCCGTGCCCCAGGCCTGCGGAAGCGCCGGCGCTGCCTTTATGGTGCTGCTGCTCGGGTGCAAACCCAGCCTTGCTCGCACAGGGAAGAGCAGCGTTGTGAATTGATGGGAACGGGGCCCTGGACTGAAGGGGAAAAAGCCCGTCCTGGAACCAGGAACTGCTCGCCACGTGTTGGGTCTTTTCCTGCTCTGTGGGTCCTGGGAAAGCTGCGAGTTCTGCAGGGCTGCGAGCGCCTTCCCAACCCCGTGCCAGTTCCTGAGAGCTTGCGGAGAGGAGCCAGGCGCCCTGGGCCACCTGCTTCCCTGCACCCAAGCCCCTTCTAGAGAAAGGCGCCAAAGTGCTGGGGTATTTTTGGTCACAAGGCACCAGCTGCGGTGCTAAAGCAGAGGGAAGCAGCCAAGCGGGACACGGGTGTTTCCAAGGGCTGCCCCAGGCCAYGCTGAGGGGAGCCCCTTCCTATTTCAGCTCCCGCTATTATATCTATAATATATAACTATAATATGTATTTATAATATAGRTATTATAGATATTATATCTAGCTCATGCTAGAGGACCCGGGGGGACGGGCACAGCCAGCATCCCCTCTTGCCCCTGAATACCCCCCGCTCCCGTGCATCCCATCGCGCTGCCGCTCGCGTGCCCGGCCGCGGTGCCCRCGCGCTCCCGCTCCCTCCCTGCCGTGACCCCTCCGGCCTCCTCTCTCCCGGCAGATGTGCACCCCCAGCAACACACCGGCCACTCCGCCCAACTTCCCGGACGCCCTCGCCATGTTCTCCAAGCTGCGCACGTCGGAGAGCCTGCAGAGCAGCAGCAGCCCCATCGCCTCCATGGCCTGCTCGCCGCCCGGCAGCTTCAGCCCCTTCTGGGCCTCGTCGCCCCCCAGCCACCAGCCCGCCTGGCTGCCGCCCTCGTCGCCCACCGCCCACGGCCGCCACCACCACCTGCACCACGCGGCCCCCGCCTGGCCCCCCGGCCCGGCGCCCACCGCCCCCCCGCAGCCGCCCGTGGCCACAATGGACGGGCAGAGATAAGACTGGGCCGCCCAYGCAGGGGGGCTTGGGGAAGGGGGCGGTTTGGCAGGGAGGGACGGGGTGGGGGGCAGAGAAAAGGTTTGGGAGATAAGGCCAAGGATAAGGAGCAGGGGAGTCCTGAGAAACGCACTGGAACCATTTTCTAGTTTTTGGGGTTTTTTTTTTCCCCCCCCCTGAGGTGAGAAGGGGTGGTCACTGGCCCACAACAGCTGCCTTGCGAGAGTCGTTTTTTCCTTTTTTTTTTTTTTTAATATATAACTATAATATATAAATATATCTAATGTATATAAGTCCAGAGAGAATGAGCAGCGGGTGGGTGGCTGGGAGGTGGCACCGCTCGGCTGCGCACAGAGGGGCTCGTGGCCGTGCTGGAGTGGGGGGCACTGCCCAGTCCCCCCAGCTCCATCGCTCCAGCTCCCGGCACCCCCCGACCACAGGGATACAAGGTGGGAAGGGAGGAAAAAAAAACCCAAAAACACTCCCAAATCAGTGGATTTTTAGCACTGCAGCTGCCACAGTGCCGCAACCCCTGCCCACGTCCCAGCTCAGCAYGACGGCAGCTCTGGATGTTCCTGGACGCTTGTTGCTGTGATTAAACCAAGTGACCCTCCTTTCACTTTGGAAATTATCCCGGCCTGGAYGCCCCCAGGATCCCTCCCATTGGATCCTGATCTGGAGATGCTGTTTGCGAGGCCGAGCTGGGGGGGCTCTCATTTAACAAGGTGATGGCCCCCAGTGCTGTCCCTGCTGCTCACGGCCCTTCCCGGAGGAGGAGGAGGAAACCGAGGGAGCCAGGGCTTCTTTTTTTTTTTTAATTTTTAAATCAATCTTGCTTAAAAAAAAAAAAAAAACAACAACAACAAAAACCACAACAAAAACAGGTTGAATTTTTTCTATTAATTTAAAAATAATAAAAAAACCACACTTTTTTAACACTAGCTGTCCCTGCCTTTTCTCTTTCCTGAGAAGCAGCTTAGAGCAGAGATGAGAACAAGGGCAAGACCTTCCCTGTCCTGCTCCCCACAGGATGGACTGGGATGCCAGTGGTCACCTTCTGCAGCCGGGGACGACTGTGGGTGACAGCCCTGGGCCATGAGCGCTGCCCTTGGCAAGAGCAGGAGGGAGCCGGCTCCCCAAGCCGAGGATATTGCGACACAGCTAAATAACGAGTCTTGACATCAGGGAGCAAAGCTGCTGGCAGAACCCAAACCTTCCACCTACGGAGCCACCAGCTCCAAAACGCCCATGCRCCAGATGGGCAGGGGCTTTTTGCARGACTCCCAATAACCAGGACAGAGTTTTGCACCCGAAGTAAAGCAAAATAGACCCCCAGGCAGCCCCAGCCTCATCCCTCACTTCTCATGAGTGAAAAGCCACTAAATCACCCATAGAAATGCACTGCACGCTGCTGCCCCGGTGTGGGTAGCGGCCACTGCAGCGAGGTGCCGTGGTGCCAAGCGGTGCGGCCACCGGCTCCTCTGATGAGGTGGGAGCAGCCTCATCTGGACCCGATTTAGCCCTTCTTAAACATCAGTGTTAAAATAAAGGAGCTGCCTTCGCTCGCTGCCTTTAYCCCTGCTCCCATTCAGCAAGCAGATGGGTGAAAACCAAAACAAGAGCACAGCAGCTCCAAGGACACCAAGGAGCACAATTCCTGTCCCCCTAGGAAGGGCCGACAGACCTCTGACACCGTGTGTCCTCTGAGAGGAAAAGGAAGAAAAGAATCCCCTACTTGGGACTACTCACCGGCTCCGGAGAGAGCAGCAGAGCTGGCAGCACCAAGAGCCAAGGACAAAGCTASTGCTGGGCTCTCCTCATAGATGATGCCCAGCTGGGCAATGATGGGGAAACAGGTCACAGCTGGGTGAGTTGACCCTTCTCCAAGAATGGCCCAGGTGCTGRGCCTTCCTGGTGCCCCAGGATGGTCCTTCACTGTCCTGCACTCCGGCTSCTTGCGCTGGAGTCTCCCAGAAAGGCCAGCTCAAGGGCCCCAGGGCTGGGCACGGGYTCTGTGGCCGCTCCAAGGTTTCGGAGTGCCCTCCCTAGATGCCCAGSCTCGCTTGCAGGACTTCCAGGGGTTGCCATCCCCTCCTTGGTACCAGCCACTAATGACATGAGTGGCGCTAGGTCTCAACATGCCACACGGCTTTCCCATCCTGCAGGGCAAGGCCCGGGACTCCCACCCGGCCCAGCAACCCAGGCCAGACCCACGCCGTGTTGGCAAGCACCCTTGGTGCCGCTTCCCTGCCCCCAAGGGAAATAAACCGCTCCCGAGCTCTCCTGAGCGAGCAGGTCAAGGGCAGGTCGTCACCGAGCGGAGCTGCTGCCATTCACCCTGGCCATAAATCAGGCCCCGTCAAAGCCATTTCAGTAAATAAACCGTGCCCGTGCTCCGTGGGCCAGGACGAGGGACGCCMCGGGGGTTCATGCTGGCACCTCGCAGTGCTCACCCAGCACCCTTTATTGCGCGGTCTCAGCGGGGCGCGAGCCCCGGGCCTCAGGCAGCGCGGTGCTCGCGGCCACCCCGCTGTCCCTCGCCGCCGCGCGGAGCCCCCCGCCCCGCGTCCCGGAGCCCCCCGGTTGCGGGACGCCGAGCAGCGACGGGGGACGCTCCTGCAGCGCCGCGGCGGCCGAGCCCGGAGCGCTGCGCGGCGTCGAGGCGCTCTGCGGGCGCGACAGCGGGGCCCTGGCGTCCGGGGCGGCCCACGGCCGGCAGGGTGGCTTGTTCTTCCTCCCTGGGGAGCCTGCGAGCAACGGGGGAGGATTTTGCCTCAGGTTTCCCGCCCTGAGGGTGCCGACATGGCGTCCCCAAGCACTTGGTGCTTCCTGGGGTCCTTCTTGCAATGCTTGGGGACATTCGCCCAGCCCCACGTCCCACCCCAGCCGCGCTGGAGGGCGGCCGCTGGCCCCCGCCTGCCCTCCCCTCACCTTCCTTGCCGGCGATGGCCGGCAGCAGTGTGTCCCTGCGGCCCTTGTAGACGTGGCCGTCCTGGCCCAGGAGCTCCATCTCGTCGTGCTGCAAGAGGAAGCGGGAATCGGGGGGCCCAGCAGCTCCGGCTGCGCCACCCCGGCTCCGAGCACGCAGCTCGCCGACGGGAGCCTTGTTGTCGGACACCCTGCCCCGGCCTTTCCTTCCCTAGGGTGACCCAGAGGAGGAGACACRGCCTGGGCTGAGCCCGGGCACCCAGCCGGGCTCTTGGGCATCTGCTTTCAAAAGGGATGAGACCAGACACAACTCATCACATGCGCGTGGCTTGGAMACCCTAGACAGGMCTACAGCAGGGAGCGCCATCCCCGYCCCAAAAGCGRCCCAGCTCAGAGCAGCTTTCAAGGAGGGCGTGGAGAACACGGGCGCCGCTGCCCGCTCCCTACCTTGGCCGCGGCGACGGCGTCGGGCTGCGCCGGGAGGCCGCGCRCCGGCTGCCGCAGGTGGAGGCAGCGCTGCAGCGGGTGCGTGAGCGTGTGCCGGCCCCCGCACGGCCGCGCCACGCTCAGGTACTCGCACTCGGCTGCCCGCTCGCTGTGGACGCCGAGACTCGGTTTCCCCGCCACGGCTCGGCTTTCCCCGCCCGGTCCCCCGCCCCGCCGCACCGTTGGAGCGCAGGGCCGAGGCAGGGCAGCTGCAGCAGGTCCCGGATCGTGTGGCTGCTGGCCCTGGTGCCGCCGCCGTAGTGCAGCTGCACGGCCTCCATGTGCCGCTCCAGGCACTCGTGGGCGCCGCGCAGGCCCCGCTCCAGCGGCGGGCCGGCGAGCGGAGAGCGCGGCCCGGCCGGGCCCCAGCGCAGGCTGCGTGAGAGGAGACAGAGAGGGTGACAGGGACACAGGGACACAGGGAGGGTGACAGGGACACGGGGACAGGGAGCGCGACAGGGAGCAGAGCTGCCTCTGGGGTAATGCAGGAGGGGATCGTGCCTCGCTGCTGCACAGCGGCGAGAYGAGACCAGGCACAACTCCTCCCGCGCGGCTACCTGCGGCCGTGCTGCCGTATCTGYTCCAGCTCGAAGACAGCGTGTGGGCGCCCGGAGTGGCGCGAGGGCAGCGCYGGCATGGACGGAATGGCCAGGACGTGCCTGTGGACAGAGGCAGGGCAGCGAGGGCTGCACCGGGCTCCTGCCCTTCGCAAACGCCGAGCCTCGGTGCAGCCAGACTGAGGTGGCAGGAGGCACCTGGAGACCCCGCTATCCGTGTCCCGGTGCCATCCCGGCCTGTCTTGCACGCGAGAGACCACAGCTCGCTGGGTCCCGTGTCTGAAAGGGCACTTACGGGCTGGGCACCAGCATGTTGAGGGAGCGGTCGCAGGACACGCAGTGGAAATGAGCCAGCAGCTGCCTGCAGAGGAGAGAAGGGCTCAGCGAGCCGCCCGCGAGCAGCGCCGTGCGGGTCTCCACCCTCTGCCCGAGCCACCTCATTTGAGCCCCAAGAGCTCTCTAAGGCACTGAGGTGCTACAGGCTTTGCAAACCAAGGTGGCAAGACGGGGAAGAGAGGTTCCTCTTGGTATTGCRTCTGGGAGCAGCTCAACTGTGTATTAGGCACCTGAGAATCCACAGAGCAGCTACATGCAATCTGCACCTCCCTAACCCCACCACCTTCACACCTGCTCTGCGCTCATGTCCTTCAACACCGCAGCGGCACCCAATGGCACCCAATGGTGCCAGAGCCGCAGGCCGCAGGCTTTCTCCCTAAATCCAGGGTGGGAATGTTATCCTAAGGCAATCAGGAAGCTGCTGCTCACTCCTGGCTTGAGGAGATGAGCAGGAGCAGGGTCGGCCYCACCGTTACGTGTGCATCGTTATTGCACGATGAACCTGCACTCGCCAAACCAGTTGGGTTCTAGGACAGAACAAGTGTCCGGGGACACGGTGCGAGGGGACAGGACACGTACGGGTGAAGGTGCTTTAATCGCGTGCATTCAGGGTGCTCAGCCCTCTGGGCTCCTGCCCACCCTACGTACTTCCGAATGCCGGCTGCGTCGTCTGCCTCCATGCATGGTGCTTTCTCCTGGAGCTGCTTCAGGAGGCTCTTCCAGTGCTCCTCGAGCCGCTGGCGGAACGGCGTCAGCTCCACACGGTCCAGCTGCAGACGGGACGGGAGCTCAGCAAGCCGCTCGCCACCGGCTGCACCGCTGCAGCCCCCAAGGCTCCGTAGGGACCGGGAAGGGATCCACAGCTGGGTGCTTGCGGCCGTGCTAGGGTTTGCCCATGGACCAAGAGATCCCCTGGGCTTCCCTGGTGCTGGCCCTGGTGCAGGTTTGGGTGCAGCCGCTGGGGTGGACGCAGGAGCTGTGTGATGTCTTGATGTCCCAYGGGGTAATTTGCAGAGGGCTCTGCAGGGGCCAAACCGCAGCGAGGGGAGTGGCGTAGCCCAACAGTGCTCATCCCACCACGGGAAGCCCCCCTGCCCTCCTCACGGACAGGCTGGCAGCTTCTAGGGCAGACCAAGCACCTCCCAAYGAGCTGGCAGGAGGGCAGGCTGCAGGAAATGCCCTTGGGATCCRTACGGTGCAAATCCAAAGGCAAAGAGATGCGGTAGAGCAAGGGGCAAGGTCAAGAGGAGTCCCTGTGCTTTCAAGGGCAGGGAAATGGGAACCGGGTCACGCATGAAGCACCAGTTCTCCTGGTAGAAACAGCACCTGGCCCTGGTACAAACCCACTGGAGGATTTGCCTCTGCGAGGGCTGGCAGGAGACTGCCCCTTGGACACACTTACCTTGGAGTTCATCTCTTCAACAAGCTTTTGTTGGATGTGGTGCCAATCCTGCTCCTGCCCTGTGATCCTGTTCAGCATGTCCTGGACCATTTTGTTCACGTGCTCCATGGTGGCATCAAACTGCAAGCRGTTGACCTTGGCAGCCAGTGCTGCCCTGTCTGCTTTCTAGCAAAGAGGGAGGAAAGGAGAGTGATGGAGAAGGGAAAAGGGATGTGATAGAGAGGCAAAAAGGACAGGTAGAATCACAGAGCCTGAGCACCAAAGGGACAGTGTGGACTTGTCACAGTTCCTACRGCTGCCTTGGTGGACACTTTGTTTTTCTGTCATCTTACCACATCCAATTCTGTCACCAGGTCCTCCTTGTCTGCTTTCTCCTTTTCCAGTTTCTCCAGAGACAGGAACAGAGCCTTTGAACACAGAAGACATTCAAAGATGAAGCCCAGCCCCAGCACCAGAGGGTTGAGGGGCACCTTCCAAGCAGTCCCTGTCTGGAGGGGCGGACACCACTCACCTCGATATCTTTCTGTTTCTGGCGATGGTCGTCCACGAGATCCCCTGTGATGGAGTTGAGCTTCTCGCAGTCCTCCTGCACCTGCAGGATGGTGGCCTGCACGTGCCTCAGAACCTCCTCGTCCTGCTGCATGGAGGAGAGACAACGACACGGGGCTGTGCAACGGGTCGCTCATGGCSCCGGAGGGAGAAGCAGGCAGGCAGGACACAGGGCTGGGATCCCTACACATCACCCAGCCCCAGGACAGGATTTTTGTCTCTGGCTCACGAAGCGGAGACAGAGGCACTCTGCAGAAATTAAGAGACCATGGAGTGAGAGGACACCAGTATCCAGCCTGGCCCAAGCCCGGGCTGCTCAGCACAGAGCTGGTATGTCCTTGGAGCTCTGTCCTTGGAGCTCTGTCCTCCAAGGACATTCCCTGGGGTGCAGTTTCCCTCAAAGCTGATCTTTGGGACCTGAGCATGCTCATCTTTTATGTTCGAAGGTTGGCAGTGTTGCTGAGCATCTACATCTGCACCAAAAGTCACCGCTGGCTGCAGTGACATCAGGACAACAGCATCTCCTACCTGGCTCCTCGACGGTATCTGCCTCGCCGCCTTGATCTCCGCCTGCCGCTCCACAAAGGAGTTAACCAGGCGCTGGAGCTGCTCGTAGCGCTGGAAAAGCTGCCTGACCTGCTCGCTGACGTCCAGGCTGCAAGCCGGGCACGTGGCTTGCACCGCAGCCTGCCTCAGCTCCGGGCTGGCCGGCACGCTCATGGACAGCAAGGCTGAAGACGAGGCCATCATGTTCTCCATGACGCACCTCAGCTTGTCCAGCTGCATCAAGGGGAGAGGGAATGGATTTGAGATGGGATCACGGTGGCTGAGGAGCCTGGGTGCTGCAGACCCTGGCGGGTTAAAGCAGGGATAGAGGAGGATGCTGAGATGCCCGTGATGGGAACGCAGCCCTCCCTGGTTGCCTGACCTGCTCCTGCAGGTTGTCGGCCACATCGGTCACTGACTGCTCCAGATGGGCTTTGGCTCCATCCTGCTTCTCTCTCAGCTCCTTCAGCTCTTTCTCTATCTCTTGCACCATGGCCCTGGCCGATGTCACAGGGATGGGATGAGCAGGGTCACACCAGAGCGGGGGACACCYCGTGTGCAGAAACCTCCTGGTTTCTTATACCTGAGACATCCCAATTGCAGTTGTATCTGGCTGGTGCCCTCTGCTTTCTGCTCGGCGCCTGCTCCCGCCATCCTTTCAACCACGTTCTGCAGATGCTTGATCTAGGAAGGGTGTCAAGGTGCAGAACTGACCCCACACTCTCCCCACCCTGGTGGCTTGTCACCCCCTCTCCCTGCTCCCAGTCCAGCAAGCAGGGCTGCTGGTGACACCGCTGTCCCCTCACCTTTGCCTTTTCGCCTTGCAGCTCGCTGGCCACGCTCTGCAGAGAGGCCACGCGGCGCAGGAGCTCGTCCAGGTCGCTGCGGCCACTCTTCTGCTCTGCAGAAACGCGGCCCAAGGGAAGGTGGTGGGGGCGTTTTGCTTGGTGCCAGCACAGTGTGCTCCAGTCTTCCCAAACCACCACAGGAGAAACTCCCCTGGCAGCAGATGTGGCACCAGGGCCATGGCAGGAGACAGGCAGGACTGCCCCGAGCCTCCCCGCTAGCCAAGAGCCCAGCTTGCCCTTGGCACTGAGCCACACAGGACACCCTGGTGTGGGACACATCCCCCTCGGGTCCTGTCACCCCCCGTGCCCCTTGTTCCCGGTCCCAGCGTGTCCCTACCTGCCTCCAGCAGGCGCAGCCGCAGCTCCTCGAGCTCCGCGCGGTCGCACTTGGCCAGCGCCAGCTGGGCCACCTGCTCCTGCAGGGCTGCGCAGAGGCTGCTGAGCTGCCCGAGCTGCTGCAGAGCCTCATCCAGCGCCACGCGGGCCGTGTCCCTCTCCCCCAAAGAGGACACGGCGGTGGCATCCATGCCTGACGAGCACACAGGGTGCTGGGCTGCTGCAGGGGACTCTGCTCCGCGCTGGGCTGCCAGGGAGGCTGCCAGGGCGCCCTGGGCACTGGGGGAAGCCTCAGGGCTCACAGCATCAGCCTGAGCACCCAGAGCATCAAGTCCGGCCTCAACGGGGGGTGTCTGAGCATCAGGGAGGATGGGTCTGCTGTCAAGGGGGCTGGGCTGAACCTCCACGCCTCCGGCCAGCACCCCTGGAGGTGCCGGCTGTGTCCCCGACACGGCGGCCCCAGTGCTGGGGGATCCCGCTTGTGATCTTTGGATGGTGGCCCCAGTGCCAGGGGACCTTGGTTGGGCGCCTGGGACACCCACCCTAGTGCCAGGGGGTCCTGGCTGTGCACCCAAGATAGTGACCCCAGCGCGAGGGGAAGCCCGCTGTGCCCCTGGGACAGTGGCTGTTACGCTAGAGGACACAGGCTGTGTCCCTGGGGCTGTGGTCTCTGTGCCAGGGGACCCAGGCTGTGTTCTGGGAACAGGGGCCCCAGTGCCAGGGGACACTGGTTGTGACCCTGGGACGGTGGCCCCAGTGCCAAGGGACCCCGGTGGTGCCCCTGGAATAGTGGCACCAGTGCCAAGGGATCCTGGTTGTGCCTCTGGGATGGTGGCCCCACTGCCAGGGGACCCTGGTTGTGACCCCAGAACAGTGGCCCCAGTGCCAGGGGACCCTGGTTGTGACCCCAGAACAGTGGCCCCAGTGCCAGGGGACCCTGGTTGTGACCCCGGGACAGTGGCCCCAGTGCCAGGGGATCCCAACTGTGTTCCAGGGACAGCGGCCTCAGTGCCAGAGGCCCCTGGTTGTGTCCCTGGAATGGTGGCCCGAGGGCCAGAGGATCCTGGTTGTATTCCAGGGACAGCAGCCCCAGTGCCAGGGASCCCTGGCTGTGGCCCGGGCAAAGTGGCCCCAGTGCCAGGGGACCCTGATTGTGGCCCTGGGACAGTGGCCTGGGCTCGCTGGGACCCTGGCGCTGTCCTCGGGGCGCTGGCACTGGTGTCAGGAGCTCTTGTCCCATGTGCAGAAGGGCCCTTTTGGGTGGCGGGTGCTCCGGGCAGCCCTGCCTGTGTCCCCACGGAGTCGGGCTGTGTCCCTGGAGTTCCCTCTGTGGGGCTGGGCTGCACCCCTGTCGCCTTGGCAGCCATCCCGGGGGYTCTGCCAGGGGAGAACCGGCCCGGCTGCGGCTCCTGGAAACAAGAGGACAAAGGAAACAAGGTCACGGGCAGGTTCCAACCTCCAGCATCGGCAGCATCCTTGCACAGCGGGGACGCCCATCCCTGAGATGCTGCCRTGGGACTGGAGCACGCAAGGAGACACCAGGGAGCGATGAGCTGGCCGAGCCCCATCCCGCACCCGCCCGGCCCGCGGCACCGGCTCACCGAGCCCAGCAGCTCCTGGATCCTCCGCACGTCCTCCTCCACGTGCAGCTGGGTGGCCTTGACGCCGCTCACCTCGCTGAGGAGGTCCTGGAAGAGGGCCATGGCCTGCGGGGACGGAGCGGGTGAGCGGGGCTGCGCGAGGACCGCGACGGCTCCGCTCCCTCCCCGCGCCCGCCGCGCCGCGGGGGACAAATCCCGGCTAGCTCCGAGCAGGAGCTGGGGCCACGTCCCCGCTCTGGGGACACCCGCTGCTCACAGGTGGCACCAGGGATTCCTCCAGATGTGCCAGCCCGTGCATGGCAGCTCCCCGGGGTCCTGCTCCCAGGGCTTTTTGTGGCGATGGAGGGAAGGAGAGTGGATGAGGATGAAACCTCAGAGCTGCTGAGAACCYGCTGGGAGGAGCGAGACCTCTGTGCGCCTGGCACTGCTAGGGAAGAGGCGGGTCAGACCATAACGGCTCTCATGGGTGGCACGGAAGGATGTGGTGCCTCTGGAAGCAGCGTTTCCATCCCAGCTCCTTCCCCCGAGACTCCACCAGCCCTCGTTGCAAAGCGCACGGCTGCCATGAAGCGCAATGGGCAACACCAGCAGGCTCCGATTGCGCTGGTCCTGCAACGATCGTCTCCTGAGGAGCACAGCTATCTCCAAGGACCAGGCGCAGCCATGGCTAGATAGCACAGAGGAGGGACGACACGAGCGGAGCCCGGTACCAAAACCAGGCCAGAAACCAAGCAGGGACAGGCCTTTCTCTGGCCCCAACTCTAACTCCGTGGCAGCGATCAAGATCTCCTCTTGCTGCTACTGGGAAACAAGTGGCATRGGGACCCGTGCTACGTGTCTGTAATGTCCCAAGATGGTCTTGGTGCTTCTCATAGCTCAGATCTAACCTAAAACTCGTTGTCAAAATGTCCTATTACCCTCTATGGGTTAGCTTGATCTTTGGGGGATCAAGCTTAGCTCACAGAGCTCCGTTTGCAGGAAGCTCTTACCTTGGAGACGCCGCTCTCATTGGCTTCAATCTTCTTCTTCATCTGCATCATCTGCCACATGTCGGCCACCACGGAGGGGGCCTGCGAGCCGCTCTTGGTCCTTTCTAGCAGCTCTGCCCCCGAGGGCAAGTTTTCCAGGGTGGCCATCTGCTTCTCCAGCTCCTGGAGCTGCCGGCCCATGCCCTGGAGCTGGCTCTCCACTGCGACCACCTTCTTCTCCAGCTTGTCCAAGGGCAGTTTCTCCTTCTCGCGGAGCGGGATCCTGTCCGGGGGCGGCGCGGGCAGCGGCGCCAGGCCCTCCTCGTGCACCTCGGTCTTGACGTCGCTGAGGTTGAGGTGCTGCAGGATGGCGTGCAGCAGGCTGTGCAGCGCGTTGAAGTTGACGGCGCCCACCTCGGGCATGCCGATGGCCAGGTCTGCCAGCTCCTGCAGGCTGATCTCCCCCATGGCAACGGCCCGTGGCGCCCGCCGCAACCAAAAACCTCCAGTGCGACCTTGGCGGGGGGAACGGCGTGTTTGAAGCTGGGTCGGGCTGCCCAGCCTTCCTCCCGCTCCTCCTTCCTCCTCCTCTCCCGCAAACCATAGGGAAAGGGGTGAAGCCCCATTCAAATGACGGGGCCCTCCCTGGGGGTCTCCTTCCCGCCCGCGGGTCTCCTTTCAGCCCGGGGGGGGGG